AATTCTAACTAGTTTTAAACTTTAGTAGAAACTTTTTTCATGATTTCTCTATTAAGAGCATCGAATAACATAATTCATGTATTCACTTGCAATTTGTAAAAGAATTGGATGCATATTTTTTAAAGTTTTTTTTAATTTTGTGCTTTGGGAAAGGACCTAGTGATGGTAGGATGTGTAGGACCTATGGCCCCTAACTCTTCATTCCAGAATGTGGGGATTTGCCTAAATGAGCTAGGATTAATGCTTTCAAGGACATCCAGCCTTCCAGTGGTCACTTTCTCATCTCCTTTCCTGCTGCTGACCACATGAGAGAGGACTGCAGCAGTTTGGTATGTGTTGATCTGTGAGGTTACATTCAGTGGGGCTTCATTTGCAGGGGTGCTGCATTAGCTGCAGAAGTGTTCCTCCAGAGACTCTGCCTTTGCTGGATGATCTGGGGGCATGGGGACTGTGTTTCATTGCTTGGTCATTTCCAGGCCATTCAGATAGGTTATTGTAAACCTAAATCCATATGATGGTAGACCCACAGTTATGAATTCTCAGAGAGAAACTTTTTTCTATTCTCCACCCAGGCCCCTGGCCAAAAGAGACAAGCTTCTCCCTTTATTGATGAGCACATCTGTCTAATCTTTCATTAGGAATTGTCCCTTCCTGGGTTTTAGCATTCTGAAGGAATTTCAGTTCTACACCCTGATTCCAGGGATCCCAAGGCCTCATCTTCTGTCTTTAAGAGAATATTAACCTAAGTCACTTCATTTCTGAAACAGGTTAGAGGGTAGGAGTATGCATACATATTATATATACACATGCAAGCACATGCAACCAGGCAGCCCAAGTGTTGCTTCCTCCTTACTGCTGTTTTTTTTTTTAATTTCTTTTTATTTTTGACTCCTGGGGATTTCATTGTCCTTATTTTCTTGCAAGCTCATCTATGAATTTAAAAGAATATTTGCTGGCTGGGCATGGTGGCTTATGCCTGTAATCCTAACACTCTGGGAGGCCAAGGCAGGATTGTTCAAGGCCAGGAGTTTGAAACCAGCCTGAGCAAGACCAAATAGACTCTGTCTCTACAATAAATAGAAAAATCAGCCAAATATGGTAGCACACACCTGTAGCCCCACTCAGGAGGCTGAGGCAGGTGGATCACTTGAGCCCAGGAGTTCAAGGCTGCAGTGAGCTATGATGATACCACTGCACTCTAGCCTGGGCAACAGAGTGAGACACTGTCTCAAAAAAAAAAAAAAGAAAGAAAGAAAAAAATTTGCTTAGTAAAAGAAGCCAACCTGAAAAGGTCACATACTGTATGATTATCAAACTATATGACATTCTGGAAAATGCAAAACTATGGAGACAGTAAAAAGACTAGTGGTTGTCAAGGGTTGAAGAGAGGAAAGGAGGAATGAATAGATGAAACACAGAAAATTTTTAGGGAAGTGAAATTATTTTGTACGATACTGTAATGGTGGATACATGCCATTATATGTTTGTCAAAACCCATAGAATGTACAACACACAGTGAACCCTACGGTAAACTATGGACTTTAGGTAAGAAAAATGTAGCAATATTGGTTCATCAATTGTCATAAATGTTCCACACCAAATGCAAGATTTAATAATAGGCAAACTGTGAGCATTGAGGGGATGTGAGGGACAGGGAGGATATATTGGAACTCTCTGTGCTATCTGCTCAATTTTCCGTAAACTTAGAGCTGGTCTAAAAATAAAGTTATGAATTTTTTTAATTCCTAAATTTTATCTACCGATTTGAAAGTGTTTTGCAGTGGGAAGATTTCTAGGTGATCTTATGCCACAAAAGGAAGATTTTTAAATTTCACTTTGATATTTTTAAATCTAAAATTAAAATAATTTATTTATAGTTTTTGTAAAACAAATACTTTTATTTATTTCTTTGTCTTAGAGCCTTCAAGGAGAGTTGGAACCGGCATCATTTTCTTGGACATATGAAGAAATTAAAGAAGTTCACAAGCGTTGGTGGCAGTTGAGAGATAATGCTGTAGAAATCTTTTTAACAAATGGCAGAACGCTCCTGTTAGCATTTGATAACACCAAGGTAAATTCAGCTTTTTTAATAGATATGTATGTTTCAGTGATCGTGGACCAATGTAACTATGTTCATATTGATTGTATAAAGGTTTCTGAAATCAAATAAAAATTGTCTTATTTCTTAGTCCTTATCAAAGTAAAGCCTTGGTTATATCAGGATTATTTTTATTCTTCAAAACTGTGTTAAATTCCAATTTCTCAAAATGACTGAAAGAAGTAGTTTAAACTTGCTCAGTGCTGTAGTAGAGTCTATCTTTGACAAACCCTATCTTGACCTCAAGTCTCTTCAGCTACTATTTCTCTGCTCTCCTTTATAGAAAACTTCGGGAAAAGTTATGTATGCTTGCTGCCTCCAGTTCTCTTTTAAAATGCTCTAGTCAGACATTCTTCTCACCACTCTGATCAGGATCGTTGGTGACCTCCATGTTGCTCAACCCCTCAAGGTCATACTTCTTAGTCCTTATCTTACTTGACCTATCAGCAGCACTTGACAAAGCTGATTATTCTTTCCTTCTCAAAGAAAACTGTCCTCACTGGGTTTAAACTTGCTCAGTGCTGTGTTAGAGTCCACCTTTGACAAACCCTGTCTTAATCTCCAGTCCCTTGAGCGACCATTTCTTTGCTGTTTTACAGAAAACCTCTTGTTCTTCAGGCTGTTCTCAACACAGCAGCTAAAGGGTGCTGTATCATACTATTCCTCTGCTCTGAACTCTTCAGTTATTTCCATGTCATTCAGTTAAAGCTGAAGTCCTTCCAATAAGCTAGTAAAGACCTGAGTGATCCGGCACCTTGTTACCTCTCTGACCTCATCTTCTGCCATTCTCTAAGTCATTCTTTCTGCTCCATCCATGGTGACTTTCTTTTCCTTGAATATGTCAGGAACACCAAAGCTGCAGGGCCTTTTGCATTTACTGCTGCCTGGAATACTTTTCCCTTTAGAAATTCAAATGACTCTCTCCCTTCCTTTTTTTGGGTTCCTTGATCAAATGTCCCCTTATCAGAGAGGCCCTCTCTAATTATATAGAATAGCAACACCTCTCTTCCCTCACCAAGCATCCCTTATCTCCCTTGCTTGACTCTGTTTTTCTCTATGGTATTAGCATCCAGCATTGTGTCCTCTCCCCAACAGAATGTCAAGACTTTGCTTTGTTAAGTTGCTATTTCTTCATAACCTTGAATGCTACTGTATGTAGGTGTTCAGTAAATATTTGTTGAATGAATGGTTGAATGAATGATTGCTTCCTTTTCCTTCCAGAGTTTGATTTACAGTTTGTCATAAATTCCCTTCCGTGGACCTTAACTTCAGCAGTTGGCAACCTTCAGATTTAGGCTACAGGTTTAGGTTGTTATGCACTCTGTGCTTCTGCCTGTTCCATAACTATAGCTGCATTTTTGTCATTTACTTTTAGTCTTATCTCTCATTGTCCACATCTGTGGCTTTTCTTCCTAGGCCTGAAGCATATACCTGCTTAAGATGGGTATTTCAAATCTGTTTTTATCTAAGATTTGGCTGATCTATTTTTTCCCACTTATAACCAATTATCATTTAATTGCATTAGAAGAATCAATACTCTTTTTCTGTGATAGAATTGTTATGAGTCTCTAAAAAAGTTTATATATGTTTTCAATAAGTAGTGAAAATCAAACATCCTATTTACACAGGGTATTTAATTCTTTATGAGGTAAATATTATCACTCTCATATTACAGATGTGGTAACAGCAGCACAAAGGGGTTAGCAGGGAAGCAGACCAGATCTATCTAATTCAGAAGACCATGCTCTTTCTACTACACCGTGTGGCATTTATTTAGAAGAAAACCTTTCTATTTTCTTTCTTTTTTTTCTTAGTATCTGTATATAAATGACTTTTCCATACAAACCTTTTCTTGTCAGTTTCTTATTAACAGATTTCTCCAGCAGCAAAGCATAATGGTTAAAAAGAGCTCAATCTTTGCAGAAAGACCTGGATTTGAATTTCAGTTCTCCATAGGTTAATTTTACTGGACAAAAAGTATTTTCTTGGAGGACTTTAGATTAGTAACATGTCTGTAACATCATGGGTTCTTTGGAGAAAAGTTCCAATAAGCTTAAAAATAACATCGGGTTTGTTTTTTTTCTCCTTCCCTTGTAGGTTCGTGATGATGTATACCACAGTATACTCACAAATAACCTCCCTAATCTTCTGGAATATGGTAACATCACCGCTCTGACAAATCTGTGGTATTCAGGACAAATTACTAATTTTGAGTATTTGACTCACTTAAACAAACATGCTGGCCGATCCTTCAATGATCTCATGCAGTATCCAGTGTTCCCATTTATACTTGCTGACTACGTTAGTGAGACACTTGACCTCAATGATCCATCAATCTACAGGTAAGTAAAAACATCACCTTTTGGGTTTATCCATCCACAGGTAATATTTATCCTATTAAAGTTTTCATTCTGAAAAATTTTAAACCTCCACAAAAATAGAATGAATATATAATGAACCCCTATATACCCATCACTCCAATTCAACAATTATGAATTATGAAGATTTTTGCCAAACTTCCATTGTCTCTTTTTTTTCCTTTTATTTAAGGCAAATCACAGACATCTTGTTATGTCACCTCTGTTTCTACAGTATGCATCTCTTATAAAAAAATAGGACGTTTTCTTATATAACAGTGTCATTATCACATCTAAGAAAATTAACAATAATTCAATGATATTCTCTAATGTCCAGTTCATTTTTGAATTGTCCCTGATTATCTCAAAAATGTCTTTTTATAATTGGTTGGCTTGAATTAGATCCATTGTTGCCTTTGGCTGCTGTATCTTTAAAAACATACATCTAGAATAGCCATTCTTTTTTTGTATGTATTTTTTCTCTTTCTTTTCTCTTGACATTGACTTGAAAAAACTAGGTCATTTATCCTGTAGGATGCCCCACATTCTGTGTTTTCTGATTGCTTCCTGTGACATTATTTAGTTTGTTCCTCTAGCCTCTGTATTTTCTAGAGACTAGAAGTTAGTTCCAAAGTGTTGCTTAGATTCAGGTTCGACTTTCTGGGTACAAGAATCCTTTATAGGTGGTAATATGAACTTTATATGGCATCCTATCAGGAGGCCTACCGTATTCCACTCTAATGTTCCTCAGGTTGACCTGTGGGTTCAGGCCCCCACTGAACTTGTACCTAATAGTTTTGTCCATTGATAATTATTGCTTGAATCAATTATTTCACTAGGGGTTGCAAAGTGGTGATTTCCTATTCTCTCATTTCTTCTAAATTTATTAGAAGAAAACATACAAGGTGAACCTAGAATATTTTGTTGTGTCAGAAAGCAAAGAAACTAACATAGTCTTGTCAAAAGGACTCAGAAGCCAATTTGAAGTGGCTCTCACTGACATAGGATAATCTAAGAATAAAAAGAATAATGACTACAATTAGTTGAAATAATTCACTTGAAATAAAAAGATATATAAGGCCATAGTGATACTTTTTAAAAGGCCAAAAAAAAAAAAAACCAAACAAACAAATAAAAACAAAACTCATTGGTCCCATTAGAGTTAACTAAGACACCAATTCCTTAGTTTGAAATTTGGCAGTTAAAGGAAGAGAATTCAGCAATTGCTCTGCCTTTCTTGAATGAACTCAATTTTAGAATAACCAAATAGCCCTAGTTGATGAGAGAATATTTTGTTTGTTTATTTTGAAACAGTATCCTCATATTTAATTTAAAGAGAAATTGACTCCAAATATTTCATTTTGTATATTAATTTCAGTTATAATTGCCAAAAAGTAGGCCTAGTTCTGACAGTTCTTAAGAAATCAGATTCAGTTGAATGCATTTGTCAATTTACAAAAGAGCAAATGGCACATTGTTTCTTTTTCAAACATTTTTATACACTACTGATGGACATTTAAACTTCATTTATTTATTCATTAATTCATTAATTCATTCATTTAGAGACACAGTCTCACTCTGTCACCTGGCCTGGAGTACAGTGTCATCATCATAGCTCACTGCAACCTCAAACTCCTGGGCTCTAGCCATCCTCTTACCTCAGCCTCCTCCTGCATCAGCCTCCCAAGTGGCTGGGACTACAGATGTGTGCCACCATCCCCAGCTAATTTTTCCATTTTTTTGTAGAGATGGGGTCTCGATCTTGCTCAGGCTTGTCTCCAATTCCTGGCCTCAAGCAATCATCCTGCCTCGGCCTCCCAGAGTGGTAGGATTACAGGTGTGAGCCACCATGCCTGGCTGACATTTAAACATTTTATACGCTGCTTGTGTAAATAGATACAGTCTTTCTGAAAGGCAATTTGACAAGAATATATCCAAAGAATTCTTAAAAGTATATACTCTGTTTTAGCAATTTAGCTTCTAGGAATTTTTTCTTAGGAAGTATTTAAGGATGTGTGCTTTACCAGAGGGTTCCCACTAGAAATAAGTTTCATGAGAGCAGGAGCTGTATTCATCTGGCTTATTGTTTATAATGATGCCTGGCACTGCATGCAAAAGTTTAGTGATAAGCAAAGTCCTCTTGTCATTTTTCAAAGTAGCTAAAATTTAGAAATAACCTAAATGCTCAACACTAGGTTTGAATAAATTGCTATATGTTGCAACCATTAAAATGATATTGTAGTAGTGTATATTTCCGGCATTGAAGATGTTCTTTTTATTTAAAAGTTGACTGTGCTTACACAGATAAAAAGAAAAACATCTGGACAAGCATATACCAAAATGTTTTACCTGGAGTAATAGTCTTATGGCTGATTTCAGTTTATTGTTTGCTCAACTATAATTGCTGATTTTTTAATCATAATCATTAGTATTTAACTGTGTCCCAAAAAAAGCTTTTTATATTGTAAAAAATTACAGGTGGGGATCTTAAACATAATGTCTTGGTCGGGCACAGTAGCTCACATCTGTAATCCTAATATTTTAGGAGGCCGAGGCAGGCAAATCACTCGAGCCCAAGAGTTCAAGACCAGCCTGAACAGGAACAAGACCCTGTCTCTACAAAAAATTAAAAAATTAGCTGAGCATGGTAATACACACCTGTAGTCCAAGCTACTCAGGAGGTTGAAGCAGGAGGATCCCATGAGCCCAGGAGTTGGAGGCTTATGTGAGCTGTGATGACACCACTGTACTCTAGCCTGGGCAAGAGAACGAGACCTTGTCCCCCCCCCGCCAAAAAAGAAAAAACATGATTTTTTTTTTCCTATTTTGAGATGTTAATTTGTATCTATTCTATAAAACTATTTGTATTTTTTAACAAAGTTTTTATGATTAAAAGTCTCCAAAACAAAATTATTATTTTATATCACTAATTTCAATATCCCCAGAAAATAATAATTTATCAAAAAAATAAGTGTATCAACATGTGGCTAAGCAGATTTGGTTTACTTACTGAAATTCGGGCAAGTCTTGCTGTTGGTCTAGTTATGGTGCCACATATTGAAAGCCAGGTGGTCCCATCCCTGTGTCAGACCAGATGGTTCCTCAGCCAGAGGAGTGGGTGTTTCCTCATCTGATTTTTTTCTCTTGTTCTTTCAAGTACTGCACAGGGACACCACTTGATTCTGTAGCTTTTAAGTGAGGATTCCTTCCTTGAGTTTTCTTACCTCGAGGAATGGTGTTGTGTGGTGTTCGTACAGTGTGAACACCAGCCTGACACATTTGCACACGTGCACACATACTCCATATGCACAGTGTTATTACTCAGCGTCTACTAACTAGATAGCGACACACTCCAATCTCAACTTGTTGTTTCTTCGATTTTTACTAACTAGGCTAATTATTACATAATACGTCCCCTTGATCATAATTTTCATCCTTTACTCTACACACTATATCTAACGGATGTAGAATCTGGAGAGTAGGGACAAGAATTTCAGGGGTTGGTAGGAATCAACTTCCAAGGGCAGCATCCGTTACAATTCCAGAGGAAGCTACAGAAGTAAGGGTAGGAGGGATAGCGGCAGCCCTAGCTCTTCTTGTTTAGGTTACTTGTAAGTCAGGAAGTCCCAATACTGGTATGAATCTGTGGGAAAAATTCTACCTTAATAGTTTATAAAATCATAATTTTGAATGGTGGCTGTTAATTGCAAAGCAACATGTAAGCAGTAAACCAAAGGCTGAACATTTTGTTGATTACATACTTATTTACAGGCTGCACATGTAGGCAGTATAATCTCGACAGCGTCAAAATATTTCATTTTTTTTATCCTTTCCTTTGTAGGAATCTCTCTAAGCCTATAGCTGTGCAGTACAAGGAGAAAGAAGATCGTTACGTGGATACATACAAGGTAGCTTTAGTTTTTACTCATACTTTGATAAATGAAAAATGGAGCTTTGTTTTAGACTTGTGTTTTACCTAATTTTAAATTTATAATATTATTTTTTACCTTCTTATACTTTGATTGACAGACAACTAGAAATCATTATGTGAAATTAAATATCATCTTCTGTCTTAATTCTCTAAAAAACACTTGCCCAGGCCAGGCACAGTGGCTCATGCCTGTAATCTTAGCACTCTGGGAGGCTGGGGTGGGAGGAATGCTTGAGCTTAGAAGTTCAAGAGCAGCCTGATCAAGGGCAAGACCCCATCTCTACAAAAAATAGAAAAATTAGCCAGGCATG